CCCCCCCCCCCCCAGTGTTACAACAGGAAAAGCACTGGCTGGGGGGTGGGGGGTGTCCAGGTGGCTGCCTTTTTCCTTCTGTCCCTTCCATTTCTTCTTCCTGCCCCCTGTCACCTGCACTCCCTCACCCTGCTCCCCACTCTGTTTCTTTCTTTCCCTCCCCCTCACTTATTGTCAGATGCTACTTGGACAGCTCTGTCCTGGAGCACAGCACTTGCAAGCTCAGCCCTTTCCTGGCTATGCAGCTGTGAATATAAGACACTGTTTTTTTTCCTGTATGCTGATTGGGGAAAAAACTCTCAATTTATATTTGAGTAAATATGGTACCACCTCTAATTACATAGAGACAGGTTATGAAGTTGCCTAAACCAATTAATCTCAGTCTGATTTAGCCCCAAATAAGCTCCCCCGGCAGCTTCACTTTCTCAGCCTTTCCTCCTCAACCCTAGAATGTTATTGTGTAATTTTATATGCCATATCACATCCTACTATATTTCCATGTTCTTTTGTTAAAGATATTAAAATAGCCCCCCATTCAAGTAAAACATTAGCTCAAGAAACTGGCTAGTACTAGAACAAATGTGTTTATTTTCAGTCTATTACTGAACATTATCTCTGTGTGTTTAAAAGTCTTGCTAGGGGCTTATTGATAGGTGTCTTTACAATCTCAATCAGTCAGTCTAACAATCAATCAGTCAATCTATCAATCTATCAATCAATGAATTAATCAAAAAAATCATTGCATTTAATAGAACTCTTACATTATTTCCAGAACAAATCTATGGAGTAAGCTGAGGGGCAAATATATTATATTGGAGGGTAACACATGAATATTAATATAGGTAGAAACATTTTCCTTTCTGAGTATTTTATTGCTCACTTTTTCTTGTCCTCTTTCAATTTAAACCATTGACTCACCATTTTAGGTAATGGAGAAACACATTTTCAGGAAAAAATGGTGGGTGGCAGGTCTTCATCTAATTCTTGTGGATCTTGATAAAACCTTAACATTCATTTTACATTGCAGGGCTGAATTTTTACGTTTTTTATGTTTACGTTTTGATGGAAACATTGAAAAAAAATTTCATTTTTTTTTAATACCAGTTTACTGCAAGCCATTAAGCTTTTTGTTTGTTACTCAGATATAATACCATATGCTATGGTGGAAGAAGTAATTTGTTAGCAAAAAAGATCTAAGTTTTGAAATTTTTTTGCTTTTGTTTAGGAAAGAAGAAATTAACAGATTCTTTTTAGCTTAACAAAAAGATATGGTGAGTGAACAATTCAGGATTTGCATTTGGAGAACATTAAGGCTGAGGCTGAGGCTAGGTACAGACATTCAAAAAGCCTGTGGCAGAATAAATCCAAGTTACGCAGTTTTCTGTAAGTGGAGTAATTTAGATTGGTAGTGAACAGAGCACACATCTACCCTTGGGAGTGGGGGGACAGGAATGGTGGGATGGGCAAATCTTAGACTGACTTCTGCCATTTTTAAGTGTGTGCCGAACTTCTGTTCTGAGTATAGACTGGTTTCTGATCACTTGTAGTGGCAGCCTGGCCTGAAATAAGTATTAATTGTGGAAATAACCATTTTAAAAAATATAACCTAGTTTAGGGGCCTGCAAAGTGATGGTTGTTGAATGAACTGTGAAGTGCAGAACTACTGTTTGGAATGTAGTTTGCTGTGCAGGTTCAGGCATGCTTTGAAAACAATACAAAATGGAAGCTCCTGGAAGACAGATATAGTTAGTATTCAGCCTATGATGACAAACACTTGAACTTTGACTCAATGAAGCATCATTGTGGAATTCAGGAATGTGGAGAACATATTGTAGGATTTTGTTCATTAAGTTTAGTGAGGAGATAGAAGTCAAGAATTCCCTTTTTACTGTCCCAAGCCCCGTTCTACTCCATGGCTTTGGAACTAAAAGAGAGGGGTCAGAGACTTGTTAGTATTATATTTTGCTTTTGTATAGTGCTTGCAAATCAGAAACGTTTTAACAAAGGCCAAGTAAAGATTCATATCACAGACAGGATATGACTTATACAAGTTCAGCTCTAAGTAGTGCTAGGGTATGGTTAGAAGCACTGTTAACTGAGACTCTTCTCAAATAGTTATTTTTTTCCACAGGGTTTTAATACAAATATAAGTGTGTGTGTCCTAGCAATTTTATCCTAAGCAAACCGAATCCCAATCTTCTTCATATCCTAATTCATGTTTAATTCTGTTCATTCTGAAACACTAATATTTGACTTTAACTGTGTGAAGAGGATTTGGATGACGTGGCTATCCATCTAAAAATCTCCCTTCAAGTATTTACAAGATAGGATATAGGAAATATATGATAGTGAATATATGAAATCACAGTCTTGTTTTCCTGGAAATATAAACCAGCAGTTACAGGCATAACATTACAGTGGCTGTAACAGTGATTGCTATTTCTATTGCTAGGTTGTCAAGCAGTTTCAATTATACTCAAATATAGAACTCTGGAAAAGAGCGCCGTTTTTGTAACTTGGCATTTCAACAAATCATTCATCCTTCTTCCTTTATTTTAAATCAATGCTTTCTTGATATGTTTATTATTTATTAAAATGAAAATTATGTATTCATTTATATCATTTAATATTAAGTTACTCAAATATTTTTCCAAGAAATATGTGGATGGAGATGTCACTTTCTTTTTAGCATCAGATCCTATGTGGAGTGAAGTCCATGGCAAAGTTCCCATGGACTTTAATGGTATAGCGATGGAGCCTTCAATTAGGGCAAAAAAGGATTTAATATGGCCAAATTAAAATGTTCCTGTCAGTCATATCACATAGTAACTAATGGAATAAGTTGACTTTTTCCTAAGGCTTTGAATTGTATGTAGACATGCAAATAATCAACATTTTCTGAAGTGGTTGGTTTTTTTTAACTTACATCCCATGTTGATACCTAAGCTATGTATACTCTCTGGCAAATATCACTTACTAATTTTTTTTGTCTATTTCAAGTTCCCTTAAGAAAAGAAGAAATGTGGATATTTTAAATGTTTCTTGTACTGGGGATCAGACTTCACAAACAAGTGAGTCAAGCTTTATTACACCTGTATCTTAAATTGAGGGAGCAGGAGACACAAACGTTGTTCAAAGTTGAAACTAAACTGTTTATTACCATAAATTATGAGGAAGAAGATGGAAAAGATAAATATGCCAAGTAATTGCTTCTGTTTCTTCATCTGAGGTGATTTTTTTGTTTCCATTTAGAGCTAATTTGGGGTTTCAAATATAAAAAAATCTGCTTACTGATTTTAATTTAAGTCTTTTTGGTATACAGTTAATTGAAACAATAGAACCTGATATGAATATTCAGAAGCAAAAGTATTGTGGATGAAAAATGCCCGTGTCTGACCCAATTCACGGAATTGTCATTAATTAGTCATAAGTGCTATCTCAGATCTTGAGGAAATAAGAAATGCGAAGAGCTAAAGTGTATTATGTACGTTTGCACAGGAAGAGGTTAGCAATGTTGCTCAATTGACTATAAACAAAAAGTTCTTTTGCTCACTAAGAAGTTCTTGTAAAAGTTTATATGTATTCATTTTAAGCAAATCTGTTGCATTGAAATGAAACCTAAATGTTATTCAGACGTGTCTGAAAAATAAGTGCATCTGAGAATGAGACTAGTCCCTGAAAGCAAACAGACTCCCACTGAAATAACTGTACGGGCTTAGAAAACCGAGCAGTCCAAATCTGTGTGTAGGCCAGTGATTCTCAATATTTTTGGACTTGAGGCACTCCTTATTGGGTTTGAGACACTCCTCCATAACTCTTGTGAATTTAGTGACACCGAATGCAAAAACTAATTCATGTATTACACTGTTTACTTCCTTATAGTGGGGGTAGAGGGTTGTCCAGGCAGAGAAAAGCTTGAGCGTACACGTGTTGGCGTACCTCCTCACACCTTGTGGCACCCTTCAGAGAATCTAGCAGTACCCCAGGGTGCTGCCTCCCCTTGGTTGAGAATCATTGGTGTAGGCCAACCCTTAATTCACTTTTGGTAGAAGCAGAATTTTATTTAACAGTGTAAATAATAATACATATTGAAGAAATATCCCGTATGCATTTTAGATTACAGTAGTCTGCCCTTTTATTCATTATTTTATGACCACTTTTTTCTTTAAAGAAGTTGCCAGTGAAGAAAAGCCGTCCGTCATCTCTCCATATGGGGAAACTTTTCTTTTTGGTAGCCCTGAAGATTCCAATGTAAGTTTTGAAAGCTCTGGATGTAAATTATATAGCAGTACTTAATGATAAGTAACACTGTACTGTTTTTCCCTGCTCATGATTTAATAACTGTTTGCATTCTGATTATTTAATGGAATAAGAATGTGGTTGTAAGGGACCTCATCTGATCCAAACCCCTGCACACATATAGGACGAGCTGTTTGTAACCCATTCCAGACACAAGCCTATCCATACTCTTCTTGAAAGCCTCCAGTGAAGAAATTTCCCAGCTTCCCTAGGTAGCTTGTTGCACTGTTGTCTTGTACCGAAAGTAAGGTTGTTTCTGAGTTTTAATATACATTTTCTTCCTGTGGTTGCCTATTGCCTCAGGGTCTGCCTTCTGTGACAAGTGCTTTACTTCTTCCCATACTTGAAAGGCTGACATAAAGAGTGCTATCATGTCTCTTTCTACAGACTAAACATATATATTTTTCTCAACTTTGCCTCATAAGGCTTGCATTCCAGCCCTTCTGGCATATGTGGTGTGCACCCCTGGATCCTCCCTGGGTTCTATATGTTCCTAAAATGCAGTGTCCAAAATTGTACATAGTACTCCAGTTGAGGCCTAATGACAACCATAAAGATTGGTACCATCACCCCTTATCCCTTTCATAAAATCATTTTTTAATGTAATTCAAAATTGTTTGTTTTTATTCTTTTGCAGTGGTTGTCCCCCATTCTGTATTTGTGCACTTTATTTTTCTGCTTAGGGTTAGATTTGTCTTTGAATGTCATTGTATTGTCTAAATAGCCCAGTTCTATCAAGAATCCATTGAGTTCTAGTCCTATCCTCAGAGTTGGCAACTTTTCTCAGTTTTGTCTTCTGCAGACTTCTAAGTTTAAAAAGTTTAAAAATATTTAGTAGTACCAGACCCAAAACATCCATATGAAACTGAGCTTGAGACTTCCTGCCAATCTGATTTTCTGTTATATAAGTACCCTTTACTTTCAACCAGTTAAATATTCACCTAACATAATATCAAGCTGATATTTCAGCAGTTTATTTATGAGACTGGTGTGTGACACTTTCAAACCTAAATGAAGTGCACTTATATTATGCCCACTGCATTCCCCTCATGCACTGAACTTTCCATCAAAAAAGGAAATCCAGATTGGTTTATTATGCCTTATTCTTAGCAAATTTGTAGCTGTTAGTGATCACCCTTTTTCCTTCTCTGATGTTTACAAGCTGGTTGTTCTGAGAATTTGTATTAATAACTTCCCAGGTGTTAGGCAGGCTGGCCCTAGGTTTTTATTTAATTCCCACTTAATGATGGCAATTTGATTGACAGGTGTCCTTTCTTTTGTTTATAGTAGTTTTATCAGTTGTCTGACTGAAGTTTTTTAGCAAAAGCTGAAGGAACGTAGTGCTTGAACCACTTTGCTTTCTTTTCATTTTTCATGAATAGCTTACCCTTACCGCTTACCATTCAGCATGGGACCCACAATTTCCCAAGTTCTGTTTGCCATAAAACATATTTGTAGAACTCCTTTGTAGTATCTAACATTCCTTGCTTGTCGTATAGCACAGTCTTTCTCTTTCTTCCATCACTTTTCTATATTTTTGTTTCTGCAAGTTCTCCCTGTTCCTTGATTTTACTTTCTTAGTTACTTTCGTTTTCTTCCATTCGCTGTTCTTTCCCCTCTTGATTTTTGAAGTAGCTAGAAGTTCCTTATATGGTTCTTATGTAGTTGTATCTGTCTCCTGCAGTAACTCTTATCTTTTTTTCTGTTTTGAGGCTCTAATGCTATGCCCTTCAGGAACTGTCAGCTTTCCTGGACACCTTTTATCCTTTATTTTGTCTGTCCAAGGGACCTTACCTACTCTTTCTCCTAGTTGTTTCAGAACTCCTTCTTTGAAGTCCAGTGTTCTTGTTCCCTTTTTGGTGGGGGGTCATGAATTCTATCCTAGCATATATTACCTTCAACTTTTTGGTCACCTTTCCATTCACAATATGAAGGACCAGTGATTTCAATATCGTGGAGACTGAAACATACTCTATGTTTCAGTAGTAGTAGACCATTTCTGTATGATAAAGAGAAACCATACCAGAATTGATCAGTGATCAGTTTCGTTTAATTATTTGTTTCTGATGGGCATCCCCCAGAAAAGACCAGCTCTTAATTTTCACTTCTTTTGACTACAGAAAGAAATAGGGGCATGGGGTAAGGGACATGTGATTAGCAGGGGAAGCACAGATCAAGGGAAGCACAGAGCAGGGGGAGTGGATCAGAGGAGAGCACTGGGAAGGAGCAGGAGCGGCGGATCACTCTCCATTAACTACATTCTAGTCATGGAAAATTAAAGCAAATAATTCATTGTCTAGAATCAAATTATTTGTGGAGGTTGTCATAAATTTGAAGTAGTATTTGGGCAAATACAGTACTATCTTTATATTACTTTCCCCCCTATATTATATCTCCGTTATATTTATCAATCTCCTCAAAAATCAACTTTTCAAAATTGGAAAAACATTCTGAATGGGGGTGTTTCTGCTTGGGGTCAGCAGGAACTGTTGCATAGCTTCACGCTGGTAACATTTTTATTTGGGCTGTGCAATATGGATGTGTTTTGATTCAGTTTTGGATTCAGTTGTTTCAGAGGACAGTGATTCATTTCAGTGTTTTGGATCACTGACCTGTTTTGTTTTGGCTGAATCTCTTCTGAATTTGTTTCGGATGGGCTGCAAAGGAAGCTTTGCACAGCCCTACCTAGCCAGGCGGGGTTGCAGGGCCCCAGCGGGGAGTGGGATAGGGACATGGGTGGCTGTTCTGGGGGAGGAGGAGGGCTGCTGCTCTCTGTGTGGGCAAGGAGACCCCCCGCATGGATCTCTGATCCCTGTCACACCAGGTCGCAGGGAAGGGAAGCAGTGCAGAGCAGCGAGCAAGCCCGCTGGTCCCTGGCACATGACTTGGCTCTGCAGAGATCTGCGCTGGGGTCTCCTTGCCACTGCTGCCCGCCCTGCACTGTCCTGGTTATGTGGGGTTGCATGGGGTGGGCAGCAGTGGTGAAGAGACCTCAGCACGGATCTCTGCTCCCTGAAGAGTCAGGTTGTGCAACGGGGATTCCCCAGCCCCTGGCCCCTGGTTCAGTTACCCCCCTGGAATAGCTGGGGAAATGATCAGAGAGTTGGGGAATCGAACTGGGAGGTAGATGTCAATATCAGAGTGCTCCTTCTCCCCCTCCACCCCTTCCTCTCCCTCTTCTTAGTTTTTGTTTCCCTGCAAGCCTGACTCCAAAATTCTCCAAAACATTTACAAAATATTTCAGAGCCTTACAATTTGTTTTGGAGCCTTCCGTTTCAATTCGGATTGGTGTTTTGGGTGCCAAAATGGCCTGAAACACCTCTAAACAAAATGGCTGCCAAAATTTTACAGAGCCCTAACTTTTTATCAGTGAAGCAATATTTCTGTGGAAGTGTGTGGAACTTGTGTGCTGCTGAAGCAAGCACATCATAGAAAATTAGGGTAGGAAGGGATCTCAGGAGGTCATCTAGTCCAACCCCCTGCTTAAATCAGGACCATCGCCAACTAGATCATTGCAGCCAGGGCTTTAAGTCAGACGTTAAAAAACCTCCAAAGAAAAGCTTGCAAGGATTAAAGATGTAGAATGATAAATTGTAGGATAATAAGCAGGCTGATTAATGCTGAGGATAGGATGGTTATATAGGGGCTTCTGAAAGATGTTTTCTGGGCAATCAGCTGATTGTTGGCATCAGCCCAGACCACCCTGAATCCAGTTCTATGGAAATCTTGGGGTGATGTGGACAATCATCTGATTGTTTTCATTGCCCCCAAAGAATTCTGGGTCCAGATTGAACACTGGGCATATGTCTTAGACTTAAACTGGGACACATACCACACATTCGGAACCAGGGCTGCCTTGGTGCAGGCAGAAAATCATCTGGTTTTAGGCATTCACCCTAGATGATCTTGGATCTGGAACTGAACTTGGGGCTGTCTAGGGCAAGTGTCAACAATTAGTTGATTGTTGGCATCCATCCTAGTATCAGGGTCCCTAATAGGCAGCCTAGCCTGGGTTAATTGCCTAATGGGTCACGTCTTCCTAAAGCTCTGAACTGCAGCCCTAACTCAGCTAATGACTCCAGCTAGCCGCTCTCTGGGCCTTTGATTGGCTGCTGGGAAAACAGCTTCCTCATTTTGCATCAGCTGTGGCAGTATGATCCAGGTCTGTCAAAAGTTCCTGCCTAAGGTCTGCCCTGGTAAGCTTATACAATCTAGTACTTCTGGCTTCCTGATTCTGCTTGCTGGACTCTAGATTTGATTTTTTTTTTAGTTTTGTTAATTTGGCTTCTGACTCCTGAATTTCACTTCTGTTTGCATTTTGGTCCTTGCCTCTAGATTTTCCCTGGATCTGGTAACTTGGTATGTAGTTCCTGATTTGGGATTGGCCCTGTAGTTTGGACTCTATTTCATTCTGACCCTCCTCTGGTGGCCTAACCCCTAGGTCAGACTGGGGGCACAGCACATTCAGTTTAAGGTGCCTTAAAGCCACACAGATGTTCTACACTATGTATGGAATATCTTTATGGCTGGTCTGTCATTTTATGATGTTATAAGTGTAACAACTGATAGGGCCCATAGAGCAGTTTGCACTGGTTGGTAAGATGGACTTGTTCAACTAAATGTATATTAGTACCTGATTGGGGGAATAGAAGGGAATTGGGCAGTTGGAGGACTGGAAGCAGTTACTCTGAAAAGGGTTTACTTGTCACAGTGGTAGATATTTAAATGTGAACTCTTAAGGTAACAGTGGCAAAATCAATTATGGGAACAAACTACTAGAGGAAATAGTGGATTCTCCATCTCTTAGTATCTTGAGGTTGAGACAGAATAGATTTTATAGATGTTATACTGTAAACAAAAATACATTGTTGGGCTCCATATAGTCTGCTCTTAACCCTTTCCCTCCCCCCCTTGCCCAAATCTTACCTCCATCACATGCCTCTTGATGTTGG